CACACACAAACACTCACACAAACACTCACACAAACACTCACACAAACACTAACACAAACACTAACACAAACACTAACACAAACACTCACACACACACACGCATACAAGCACACACACACAGACTCTCACAGACGCACACAGATATGCGTCATGTATATGATATTTACAGATATTTACAGATATTTACATGTAGTGTACTGAGGTCTTTATGTCCAGACGTGTTGGTTCGTATTCTCTGATTCATGTTTATATTCTCTTGTTTATTTCTGCTAGTGAATGTCATTATGGGATCTTGATCTTTCCTCCAACACTTTATCACCCTGAGCAGTGTGTATAAAGTGTGTGTTCTGCACATGTGTAATAGTGTGCTGTATTGTGTGTGTTGGTGTTGTATATTGCGCTACAGACAGCTTGTAATAAACTGCAGCACATCTGCTATTCTACACACTTATTCATCTACATATTATTGATTATACATCATATTATTATTTGAAACTATTAAGATGTCAGTAAAAGTCTCTTTGTTAAACTGTAGAGCTGAATTATCAACATCAGCAGTGGACAGAGCAGAGATCAACATCCCATAATGCAGTTCAGCACCATAATAAAAACACACCACACACACAAAATACAGAGACTGTTCATTAAGAGAGTTTTCAGTGCGCTGCTCAGCATGAAGCGTCATTTAGGCAAGTCACTGTATAACAACACTTCATTCTGTACACAACTGAAAAAGCTTTTCTTTATGGAGGATGATAATATTGACCTTCAAATAGTTTAAGAATGTAAAAGCTGCTTTTATTAAAAATAATTAAATAAGACTTTTCTAAATAAGGCAGAAGGGAAAGCGTTACAGGAAATACAGTGTAAACTCCCTCTCTCTGCTCAACTCAACTTGAAGATGTTTAAAAACAGAATCAAATCATTCACACTAATATACGCATGTCAGCCGTCTGTAAATCTGCATGCGCCGCTTTATTTACCTGGAACAAACATCTATTATTAGTGTCGCTTTCCATCCTAAATGCTAGGATTAGCCATTACTGTATAAACGACACTGATATCCACAACATCTGATGAGGAGTATAATTACTGTGTGTCGATGCCACGGCTCTGCAGCGCCGAGAAGCAGAAAACCGGCCAGAATACTGACAAACACACACTTCTAACACACGTTTCAGAGCACTGCCAACAACACATGGAGACTTCTGTTTGTGCTTTACTGACGCGAGGTTCAGTTTTCCCCAGTGCTAGTCAATGAGAAACACTGTTTTACTAGACGGGGTTTCCACAGGCTTCATCAAGCCAAATTTAAGACCTTTTGCACAAGTGTTGAATGACTTACACGAGGCTAAACACTTTTTTTAAATGGCTAAACGATTAAGAAACCTTAAAAAAACATTAGAAACAAAAGTTACTGTGAGGAAGATAATTAAGCCACAGCATTACACAGAGTTAATAAACCTTACACGTTAAAACCTGTATTGATATATATTGCTAGGGATTGATGGGTGTTGGCCTGATTGGGTATGGCTTTACATGGACAGCAAAATTAGGACCTGTTAACATTATTGTGGACCTACATCACAATACTCCAGTGGATTTTTAGGGGACCCTGCAGATACCCTGCTAGATAATTATGAGCTGGCATGAAATAATATTACATAACATATAATAATACTTTACTCATTAACAGATAATTATAAAACCCAGAAGAGGCAGTTCACCTGAAAACAATGGCATTTACTCACTATTTACTGTCAATAAGACATTAGCTGCATATAAATGACCAGAGAATCCTCTTGTGAATGCCACATGAACAGAGAAATAAGCACTGCAGAAAGACTCCTTTCCAGAATGAGTTAAAGCGTCTCGTTATTCATCAGAGAGGCTGGTTTGAGAGTTTTTAGTGTAAATAATGTGTGTGTGTGTGTGTGCGCTGTGGAGGTGAGGAGTATGAGCACAGCGCCACCTACTGGACGACAGACTCACTGTTTATAGAAGAATCCAAACTCCAAACACAAACTGTTCAGAAACGGCTCATTTAAAGCTAAGATAAATCCTCATTTCAGTTCTGTACTGTAACTACTGCAACTGCAATCACAATAACAAATACACATTGCTTTATTAAAGATCATATAGTGGGAATGTGCTAAACACTAAGCGGGATCATAAGGTACAGTTTTTATTCTTTAGGTTATAAATAAAACACTCATAATGTGCTTAAAGGGTGTCAGAAACTGCAATAATGTATATTACATAATAATAATCATCTACTGAACACAAATTAATACACAGTTGAAGTCAGAATTATTCGCCCCTTTGAATATTTTTTCTGTTTTAAATATTTTCCTAAATGATGTTGAACAGGTTGAGGAAATGTTCACTATATGTGTGATAATATTTTATCTTCTGGAGAAAGTCTTATTTGTTTTATTTCGGCTAAAATAAAAGCAGTTTTTAATTTTTTAAACACTATTTTAAGCTCAATATTATTAACCTCTTTAAGCTATATTTGTTTTCGAGAGTCAGAACAGAACAAACAATCATTATACAATAACTTGCCTAATTACCCTAACCTGCCTAGTTACCCTAATTACCCTAGTGAAGCCTTTACATGTCACTTTAATCTGAACACTAGTGTCTTGAAGAATATCTAGACTAATATTATTTACTGTCATCATGACAAAGAGAAAATAAATCAGTTGTTTGAAATTAATAAAACTATTATGATTAGAAATGTTGAAAATAATACATATTTAATTAATAAAATGTTAATGAATTATTTATTAATGATATGAATATAAATAATAATTATATAGGGGGGCAAGTAATTCTGACTTCACCTGTATGTTGAAGAAATGCTGGAAAAATCTCCCCTCTTACGGAAGTCAGTGGGTGCCAGCAACCAGCATTCTTCAAGTTATCTTCTTTTGTGTTTAACAGAAGAAAGAAACTCAAAGGTCTAAAATCATGAGGGAATAAACGAGCAAACTCTCAATTTTCATTTTAAAATTTACAAAATGACTCACTATTTACTCGTCTCATTTGGTTTAATCCATTATGAGTTTCTTTCTTCTTTTAAACACAAATAGAGATAATTTGAAGAATGCTGAAAACCAGTAACCATTGACTTCTATAGTAAGAAAAACAAATACTATGGAAGTCAATGGTTACAGGTTTTCCAGCATTCTTCAAAATATCTCCATTTGTGTTTAGAAGAAGAAAGAAACTCATAAATGCTTGAAGTAACAGGCGAGTAACTGATGAGGGAAGATTCAGTTTAGGGTGAACTGTGCCTTTATATAACATCATTCCATATTAAATTAATATAAAAGTCCATTTTATAAGACGTTACCTTAAATTCCAGACGTCAAATAAATAACCACTCTTCTATAGTATAGACAGCATGACTGTGAGTGAGCTGAGACGCATCACTTTAATACAAATTTAACCATTAACACTAATTATGATAACTATGACACTACTAGCATGTACAAAATCATTATATCGCTAAAGGATCAGCTCATCCTAAAATTAAAACAGACTCGCTATTCACTCTCCCTCGAGTGGATCCAAAACTCAAACCATGAGACTCTTTATTCTGCTGAACACAACATCATATATTCTGAGGAATGCTGAAAACCGGTAACCATTGACTTCCATAGTAGGAAAAACAAATACTGTAGAAGTCAATGGTTACCGGTTTCCAACATTAATCAAAATATCTTCTTATTTCTTCAACAAAAGGAAGGTTTGAAAGTTAATTGTGGATATGTGATGACAGAATTGTAATTTTCGGGTGGAGCGTGTCTTTAACTGTGCTAGAACTGCTGTGCTGTTCTGTGTGTGTGTGTGTGTGTGTGCTGCGCTGTTGATCCAGATTATAATCCGCTTCCTCAGACTGTGTGTGGATTAAACATTCATTAACGGCGTGACCTTTGAGCAGAAACGCACCTGATGGGATCTTCACACGCTCCGAAAGGAAGTTTGCCAAACTCCACACCGCCCACCTCTCCGGCGAGAAGAGCATCAAAGTCTGAACACACACACACACACACACACAGTTTCATATTAACTTTGACTTTCATTTTAGCTTCTGATCAAAGTAATATAGAGCACTGAAATTAATCAAGTGTGGATATAGGGGGAATATGATCATCTGCCTGTGTAAACATCTCCTGCTCCGCTTAATACAGAGGTAAACACACACACACACAGCGCTGAGCGAACGCAATATTGACTGAGATGTTGAGCTCATGTGACTCCATGGCAACAGTCTGAGCTTCTGCAGAGAATCCAATAAAAGCGGCAGAAATACAGAAATAAACCGACTTATCCCTAATCAAACTCCACAGCTGAGTGCAGAAATATACATACTGAGCTGAGCATGAGTGAGTTTCACAGATCTCTGTTACAGTAATATTCTCTACAGGATGCTTTACAGTAATACACAGCGGCCACTTTATTAGGTACACCTGTCCGGCTGCTGGTTAACGCAGATTTGTAATCAGCCAATCACATGGCAGCAGCTCAATGCATTTAGATATGTAGACATGCTCAAGAGGATCTGCTGCAGGTCAGAGCGAGCATCAGAATGGGGAAGAAAGGGGATTTAAGAGACTTTGAACGTGGCATGGTTGTTGCTGCCAGACGGGCTGCTCTGAGTATTTCAGAAACTGCTGATCTACTGGGATTTTCACGCACAACCATCTCTTGGGTTTACAGAGAATGCTCCGACACAGAGGAAATATCCAGTGAGCGGCAGTTCTGTGGGCGCAAATGCCTTGTTGATGAGGTCAGAGGAGAATGGCCAGACTGGTTCCAGCTGATAGAAAGGCAACAGTAACTCAAATAAGCACTCGTTACAACCGAGCTCTGCAGAAGAGCATCTCTGAACACACAACACGTCCAACCTTGAGGCGGATGGGCTACAGCAACAGAAGAGCACACCGGGTGCCGCTCCTGTCAGCTAAGAACAGAAAACTGAGGCTACAATTCACACAGACTCACCAAAACTGGACAATAGAAGATTGGAGAAACGTTGCTGCTCTGATGAGTCTCCATTTCTGCTGACACATTCGGATGCTCGGCTCACAATTTGGCCTCAACAACATGAAAGCATGGATCATCCTGCCTTGTATCAGCGGTTCAGGCTGGTGGTGGTGGTGTAATGGTGTGGGGGAGATTTTCTTTGGGTCCATTAGTACCAATTGAGCATCAACGCCACAGCCTACCTGAGTATTGCTGCTGACCATGTCCATCCCTTTATGAGCACAGTGTCTCCATCTTCTGATGGCTACTTCCAGCAGGATAACGCAGCATGTCATAAAGCTCAATCATCTCAGACTGGTTTCTTGAACATGACAATGAGTTCACTGTACTCAAATGGCCTCCACAGTCACCAGAGCTCAATCCAATAGAGCAGCTTTGGGATGTGGTGGAACGGGAGATTGGCATCATGGATGTGCAGCCGACAAATCTGCAGCAACTGTGTGATGCTATCATGACAATATGGAGCAAAATCTCTGAGGAATATTTCCAGCAGCTTGCTGAATCTCTGCCATGAAGGATTAAGGCAGATCTGAAGGTGAAAGGGGTCCGACCTGGTTCTAGTAAGGTGTACCTAATAAAGTGGCCGGTGAGTGTATATCTGTGCAGATACGTTAGTCAGTACCACAGACTAATCTGACAAAAACACTGAAGATCACAGTACAAACATCACCAAACACATTTATTAATATGATGGGAAAAATATTAAATACAATTTTAATAAACGGGGGGGGGGAAAATCAAGGGAAAAAAAGATCTGCATATTTGAAGATGCAATTGTCTGATCTTTCTTTCACTTATGTTAATGGATATAAATAGGGCCAGACAGAATCTGCTGACATTTTTTGCCATTTCTGCAGAGGATTTTGTCAAAAAAAATCTGCATATTTATGGGGAATGTTTTTAGGAGTATCATAAATAAAAATAAATGTATAAAATAACAAATCATACCTTTTTAACTTTTATTTAATGCTTAAAATCCAATTAGATCTCCTTATTTGGTAAACAAATCAAGTCTCTCATATAATATCTCTACTAGAAGACAGAAAATAAAAACTGCATTGTAAATTAATCATAAGAATATTTTAATATTATTAATATTATATCACAATAAAATTAGTGAAATGAATTTAAAAACTGAGTAAATATAAATTTACACAAGTAAACGCATAGACTGAATGATGGGTTAAAAATCTGCGGAGTTCTGTGCGCGCAGATTCTGTGTGGGCCTAGATATAACTGATGAATAAAACTCTTGAGTTAACTGCACCAAACACATTGTCTATAATCACTGAGACATGGATAGAAATATACATAATTCTAAAGGGGGTGTGCTCATTTATGTGTATGAGACGAGAATATTGCAGATATTATTATAATTGCACTGTTTAACCATAACTACTGTTGCACTGTACGAAATGCTGTCCTGACTCAGAGTTTGACTGGTTTCTAGTCCAAACATCCAAACTTTCCTAAATCAAGAAGCAGAATGTTTTTTATTATAAAAAAGAAATAAATTATAGTCTTGATTTCAGCAAAAATGAGTCAAAATTAAGAGATTTTTTCTTAAAACAAGCAAAATAATCTGAAAATGGGCAAAATGATCTAATAATGGCTGTGAAATAGCATTAATCCACTTCCCCTGTTCCCCGATTATATAAATCAACATTTATTATTAAGCTGCTTCGCTGTAAAACTATTAGTCTATTTCTAACTGTCCTGACTGTGTTTCTGTGGTTTTCCTCGTTTGTGTCGGTGTTCATCATTCAGTTTAATTAGACTCAAATAACAGCAAACACAAGAGCTTTCTGCCACGACCCCAACACTAAGAATAATAAACATCCTAGTGGGAGAGAGACTAAACATCCATCTACATCATAATCAGTCACGTCAGATGATCAGCCAGAGCCACATGAGCCAACACGAGACTGCAGTAATGTGTGTGTGTGTGTGTGTGTGTGTGTATGTGTGTGTGTGTGTGTGTGTGTGTGTGCGTGTGTGTGTTTGTGTGTGTTTGTGTTTGAGTGTGTGTGTGTGTGTATGTGAATGTGTGTGAGTGTGTGTGTGTGTGTGTGTGTGTGTGTGTGTGTGTGTGTGTGTGTGTGTGTGATAGTGTTTGTGTGTGTGTTTACAATGCCTGCTGAAAAGCAGTTTAACCCATTGACACATTTTACAAGTTACTTTATATTTTGCTGCTACTAAGGGGTGTTTACACAATGCATTTTAACTAAACATGATGCAGTTTTAACTAAAAATGTTAACCTTTTATGCACTTTGTTCAATCATTTACACATCAATGT